GTGTGTGTGTGTGTGTGTGTGTGTGTGTGTGTGTGTGTGTGTGAAGGCTGCAGGATGTGGAAAACAAAACAAATCCTGACAGGCTTCAGCCCATAGCTGCGTCTCTGTCATGGTCCTGACCCAGGAACATAAAAACCTCCAGAAATAAACAGCTCACAGATCTTTACGGTCCGTCTCCGTGGAAACCACAGTTCTGTGTTGTCTCTCAGAATCTCTGACCTTGATCCCGAGTTGAAACAAGTAAAACGTGAAGAAGAACAGAAGCTGCAGATTAGAGTTGGATTAAAGAGGCAGTTTGTTTACTGTTACAGCTGTTGTCCCATGATGACATCATCTGTCTCTCACTCCAGGAGGGAGGAGTGTCCATCATCCATCCATCCATCCATCCATCCCTCCATCGTTATAAATTGGTTTTAATTTGTAGTTTTTCTTCTGTGTTTTAATTTCAGGTCATGAAGTGACTGTTTCTCCGATGATTGACAGCAGCACGCTGATCATGTTGGACCCAGCGGAACCGGCACACTGCACCGTGTGCTGCTGTACGCTGGCCAACAAAATCCTCATGGTGCTCTTCATGGTGCTGCTGATCTTCGCCATCTTGTTTGGAAACTTGGTGACCCTGGCTGTGGTTTTAGGGACCAAACACTTCCACACGCCACAGGGATACCTGAAGGCGTCCCTCGCCGTGGCTGACCTGGCCGTGGGGACATTCGTGGTCCCGCTGTCCGTGTACGCCGAGGTCTATCTCATGGTGACCGACTCTGCACCAGAGTGGACTTCATACAACTCGCAGGTGGTGAGTTTCCACCCGTGCAACGTTATCGGCCCCATCTTTGCCGGGTGCACCTTGGTCTCCATCACAACCATTTTTCTGCTGACGATGGAGCGGAGCATCGCTGTGTTGAGGCCGCTGCACAAGGACTCTGTGATCACTCGGAAGAGAACCACGACCCTCATCGTCCTCTCCTGGGTGGGGAGCTTCTTCTTGGCCGTGTCTCCGATGGTTTTCAGCAGCGAGATCGTGCTGGAGTACAACTCCTGCAGCCGCATGTGTAACTACGCGCTGGGGGTCATCGGCGAGTTCCCGAGCCAGGCCTGGAACATCCTCCTGCTGTTCCCCGCCTTTGACTTCACCCTCCTCGGTGGCACTGTGGTGATAAACGTCATCTCTCTGTCCAGCATCAGGCAGCACTCGAAGCGCAGGAAACACCTGGCTGTGACCGAGTACCAAAAAAAACCCAATCCCACCTTCTCTGACATAAAGGCAGCGAAGACCATCGGGACTCTAACGGTGGCGTTTACAGCATCGTTCACCCCCATCGCCGTCTTCGTAGTGGGAAACGTTTTGGGGAATAAATGGTGCAACTTCTCCTTTTTGGCCTTCTGGATTCTGGCCTCCAACAGTTGCTGGAATGTCATTATTTACAGTGTCAGGGATCAAAAGTTCAGGCTTCGAGCTCACAAGCTCCTCATGAGAAAGAAAAGAACATCAGGGCCAGACGCTCAGTCCTGAGCGGGACTGCATGATAAGAGATGTGTCTGCATGTCTTCAGATCGCTGTTGTGGAATCACTTTTCTTTTCTTACGTCATAAAAAAAGCATGAAGTGTTGGATGCGAAGTGTTCTTCATTGTCTCGTTGTGCAAACACATCATGTTAAAAAGCTCAACCTCTCCCCCACAGGAAACACTGACGCTGTTAAATCTCGTGATGTCTCAACACTGATTGTCCTTCTGAGACAATATCAGGTCAAATCAGTGCAGCGACGCTGACACAGATACGATTCTGCCAAAGCTTCTGCTCCGTCCTCAAGACGACGGGTTCATTTCAGAGCATGAACCCATTTCTCATGGAAATAACGAAGTGAAGAAAATTGGTCTGTGGGGAGGAGATGGAGGGAGGAGATGGAGGGAGGAGATGGAGAGAGGAGATGGAGGGAGGAGATGGAGGGAGGAGATGGAGAGAGTCGTAGGTGCTGTGGCTGTGAATGTTTGATCCACACACACATTTTCCACCTCTGCTGAAAATCCTAGGTTTCTGCTTCTTTAGTGTCTGACATGCATGAGAGGGAAGAGGAAGTAACAGTCGCTGCTCATTCAAACTGCTGCATTTGTAAAAACTCACAGTGCTCGAGTTCAATTCTTCTATAGAGCGACAACCTGTTACCTCAAGACTCAAATATCGATAAAATATGAATTCATCAAAGATTTTTCAATGAAATAAAGTTTCTTATTTGGCTTTGAAGGGATCCTGGATCCTGCTCCACGGTCCGGGGTTTACTTTGCTTTCTTCTTGTGCTGACGTCAACCAGTGACGTCTTCGCTGAAACTGCGATGAAATGAGAAGAGAAAACAAGGAAAGGTGAACAATCACCGAGTGAGTCAGAGCGAGGAGCCATGAAGAGGAGCGAGGGCAGGAGCTCATGGTTCTGAGGAGGAAGAGGAGGCAGAGAGATGAAGAGGAGCGAGGGCAGGAGCTCATG